CCTCGCCAAAATGCTGACTCTTCTTGCGCGTCCTGTTTTAAGCTTATTAGGAACTAAGCGTCACAGTTAAACGTTTCGACGAGTGAAGGCTTTTGCAAGGGAAAATGAAACACAGCGACGTGAAAAATTACCGAAACCTTTTACGTAAAACGCGGATGTTTATGCGCCTGACGTGCGTTAGAACGTACAAATAAATTATGAGACGGATGTAAATATAATATACAACATGCAGTTTCATCAAATTGGTACACGATCTTATTAAATTAATATCCGCGCAAATAGAAGACTGTCGTTACGTGCGGATAAAAATAGATTTCTCGAAAACTTAGATAAGGTACTTATATCTTAAATGAAGCTATCTGTTCGGAAATCGAGTTTCTCTCTCCAACATGCACATCCACTGCACCGAGGATGTCTTCGTACAGAGTGTCTTCCGACAGAACACTTAGGTACCTGTACGAACTTTCTTGCTCACTCTTCAAAGTGTCAGCCTTTAAAAGTCTCACAAGTACGGCAGCGAACTCTGCGGAAGTGTTATCGCCACGTTCCTCGAGATTCTTCGACCGACGGACACGTCCTAACTGAACACATCTACTTCCCACTTGCATACTTTAGCCATCCTTTGTAACGGAGATGTAATAGAAGTGGTCGAGATCCGCCCAAAAGAGGCGCTTCAAAAGTTTCCAATTTCGGTCGTGAACCTTTCTAAATGAGAATTTCACGATGTTTACCCCTTCCAATATATTCCTTAAAGAAAGTTTTGTTTTATCGGAGAGACGAGTATATATTTCCAGGTATCGTTAACTTTTACGTCGGTTTTTTTAGTGAATTTTTTGAATGAATTAGTTACCGGTACTATGGTTTATCGTTACGAACAAATAAAATTTCTTTGCATAATAGGGAGAGGCAAATGTTTCCGTTGACCCAATATTTTCCGTGCAGAATGTCGTAACATAAAGAAACGATGTACCATATGTTCAATTAATTACTTAAATTAAATAATTGTCCCGCGAATTATTCCTGTACTATGCACGACACTATGTACGTACGTATTACCGAATGATATGAAACTAGTACACCTAATATACCTAATTAACGAGCATGTATCGTTAAAGAAATAATTAAACGACTGAAGTAATGTACAGCGATAAATAATAATAATAAAATTAAGAAATACTATTCGTATCCAGTGTAGAAGATCGCAATAAAGCACTTGTCGGGGATTAAAAGAACTGAGAGTATCGTTGGCAAGGATGGCTCTGCTGCATGAATTATTCGTCAGAAAAAAATGGAAATCTACGGGACAGGGAATCGAAATAAACCCCTACCTTTTATACCGTTACACGTAACGCGGTACAGAGAAAGTCACGAGCATGTGCGACATGCACGTGCAACCGTACGATGGCGCATACCTTTTTTCACGGGAATTGTTCAACAAGAAAGTTTCTCTATGGAAACGCAGAGGCAGAAAAATTTCTGGAAACTTACGGACCAGTAATTTGCGAATCGCGAACTGCCTTTTAGCGAGAAGCGGATATATCTATTTCACAAGCTTGGATATGCGTTCAAAGGGACCAGGTATTTGAAAATTTAACTGTTAGCGAGCAATGGAGCAAATTCGTTCTTTCTCGTAGCTATAGCTGCACGATTTTAGAATACTGTTTGTTGCGGAAGAGTGACAACCGTTTCACAAATGCAAATATTCTACGTTTCCTCTCGCTATCGTTTAGCTTTTCCCTTGTATAGCGGAGTGTCTTGGTTATCCGAGTCTCGTTCGACCGAAGCTCCGAGATGCTTTGAACTTTATACTAACTTCATTTTTTCCCCCGATAGTTTAAGAGTGTGAATTAAGAGCGAAGTTAAAGAGTACGAAAGCGTAGATAATCAGGTACCGTTAAAGCAGTTAATCAAACTTTCGACCGATTAAATAGTTAATTAAAGTTAAATACGTGTACAGTGTTACGTTATCAAAATGTCTTTTCACAGCGTTAATGCACAATTTATTAACAGCGATGGACCCCTCTGTTATTCTATACCGTTTGTATACATCGATATTATTGCCATACGTGGAGTGGCTGACACGTACGATAAAATCAGATATTGCAGCGGAAATTACATTGAGAATTATCAAATTTTGTTTACACTGACTGATACAATATTATCACAAACCACATTAATGGCAAGTTTATTAATACGGTTGCGAGTAAAACAAATTTATCGAGATTAAGGAGAAATTTGTAAGTGTGTAATTTAAGAGTTTGCTCATAAACGGCGAAGATATTTATGCAAATGTATATTTTTACATGATATCAAGATGTAACGAGATTGATTTTATTTATAGAGGACTTTAGGCCGGTAAATATTTATTTTACATATTTGCATATCTTGCGCCTTTCATTCACGTTCGTCGTATTTATCCGATAAAATCCAATACTATTTACCAAAGTCTTGGAGAAAATTAAAAGTGAGGATGTGCACAAACGTTATAGATGTTAACGAGTAATTACGATTAATCGATACATTAGTCGTTCTACGAACAAGTCTATTAAATATTGGTACTTGGAAATGCGAAAGGAAAAATTATGACGAAATAAAATACAGTTCCGCGGAGAAATTCCAGACTTAAAACTGTATCACGAGTCGGTGAAATTTGAACAGGTAATTGAGAAGCTAATTGCTACCGAGAGAAATTTAGATACGCCATCGAAACACTGTGTTTTAAAATTACAAATGTACGTTCGATTAAAAATTAAATAGAACGAGAACAAATATTTGTTGGAGAAAAATTTTACGTTATCGGAGCTACTGACACGATCTTCAATTTTTCTTTCAGTCGATTCAAGAACGGAATCGAAATACTTAGGAATCGTGTTTACTCGATGAAAGATTAACGTGGGAACTGGTTGCATAAAACACGTGACGAAGGAAATAGCATCGCGAGAAGAAGTTCATACGATATACAACTTTGTATGTGTTTCCTGAGAACGACTGCTGCACGAACGAAGAAGCTGTATAAGAAGCAACTAATTCGATATATCATCAATGATATATAATAACTTGTCATCGACTGTAAATTACATACAACTACGCGAGAATCGGTTTGAAAATATTTCGAGGATCGTCGGATAAATTTGATATACGAAGGTAGGATTATATCCTACAGAACAAGAAAAGCGATTTAAAACATCCTGTAACGCGAGCGTTCCTTGTGAAGCACAACATTGTCAAAAGAATTTGATACGATATGATCCACTTGCTTATGGAAATCCCGGTCTGGATAAAAATTGGAAAGGACCGTCTGTCCGCTCTTTCCACAGTCTCTTTTGTTTTAAGAGCTGGAAAAGCAAGTTACGCGCATTTATTACCATTCTAAAAGAAAATTCAAATTATTCGATATACACGTAGGAATAAAGCTTGGGAATAGTAAAATACACCTGAGATTTGTACACGTGTTACGTGGAATAAGTATCGGGCAAGTATTTTGTTCTAGTGCAGCTTTTATCTAAACCCGCCGTTTCTGTAGCATCAACTGCATAGTATGATATAAAAGTTTAATAAAACCAAACAGATTAACTTCAGCTAAAATGGATGGCACGACACGTCAAAATATGGGCGAGATACGAACAAACAAAATAGATATTATTTTCAAGACAATGGCCAATTCTCCGTTTAACTGGTAAATTACAATACGCTGAAACAACCAAATAAAGGCTCGCAGAAGTACAGACAGGTGCGATAATTTAGTCGAGTAACTACCAGTGCCACTTATACGTAGGATGGTTTAGTATCTACGTCGAAAGTGTGAGGAATTAGTACACAGTCGAGTTACAGATGTGATTAGTGGATTACTAAACCGCTCACTACTCGACTAAATTACTGAACATTTTACTAAACCACTCGATTAAATGTTAACGTTCATACAGGACAATTTACTAAATCACCGAACGTGTC